TTTTCTAAGGTCAGAACAGGGCCAAGCACCACAGCCAGAGCCGCATGGCTGACGCACAGGTAGGAGGGGGTGATCAGGAAACAGTGACAGAGCCTCACAAATCATTTCTGGATTTTGGAGTTAGTGAATGACCCTGGTAATGCCGTGATTGGCAAAGCATCTTGAATAAGAGAAAACAGAGACTTGAGCTCCGAGCAGGGCTGCCAGCCTGTTCCCCCTCACTCCTCGCTGGCGTAGCGTGGACCACCAGCACGATAGCTCCACTTTGCTTCTAGAGGACACCGCTGTGATAACTCCTCTTCCCCGCTCCCTTCTGGGTACCTGGTATGTTCTGTGCCACCAGCTCTTTCTCCAGGCTCTTCATGCGATTGTAGAATATGTTATCTTGTTCGTCAGTGTTCTTAAGTTCTCCTTCAATTTCAAAGTGCACATCTGGAGCAGCATTTGTGTTGCCCACGTGATAAAGAATGTCAGCAGTGCAATTAACAGTATAGCAGTCCTGTTACAGAGTTAATCATGTGTATCAAAAGTTAATGTATGTACAGTATTTTTAATTTGCACTTTTAAGTTTTTTTTTCATTATGTAGTTGGTATTTTGTCTGCGACTGACCCATGAGAATTGGGATTATTTAAAACAAGGTCAAATTCATAGCATCCCTGTGAATGTATTTTAAAGGTGATTTTCTTTCTGCCATGATGTAGAAGGTGATGCCCAGTGGGGTGTAGAATGGTGCTTGTGTTTCGCAATTGGAGAAATGGATTAAAATAACTTTGACTAGAAACTGAGAATTATGCCAAAATGTCCATGTCATCCTTCAGTTATCTTCATGTGTCATGGTGATAGGCACCAGCTATTAGCTTTTGTGGTATAGCAAATGATAGTTTTCTTTTGGGGGAGGTTCAGCACTTTTTTTTGTCTTTTTTCTTTTTTCCTTGAAACTTACTGAGTATCTGCGGGCCTCAACTAGGATCAGCAGCACAAAATGTCAGCTCAGAAGTGCCAATTCCTGCCCATAGAATGTATTAATTAAATGAATCTGAACTCACTTTCTCCAGGGTGTCTTCTAACACCAATTTCAGATTGTATTTACGTCCAACGTTGTCGATGTCCTAAGTGTGCAAACATGAAGAATATTTTGTTTTGTAATCCTGAACTGCTTTGCATTGCGGAGAAGCTCATAGTTATTCCTGCGAAATGCATTGCAGCAGAGTCACTGTCTGCAACACCAGTGAGAGCAGGACTATTATTTCCTCCTACCGTGTTTAGATTTGCACATTTAATATGTGCCAGAGGTAACATCTGATTAGGTATCTCCAGATCCATTTCCAGACCTTACTGCTCAGCTCCCGTGTTAGAGCTCACAATATGCTCCTCTCCCAAAACTGCTGCTTGGTTAAATACTGAGCTGCGAGAGGCTTCATGGGGTTCCTTTAATTAATTGCATTTTGCATTATATCACACCTTGATGCATGTCTTAATCTCCCTGTGCCAACACGTCCAGTATTGAGTAAAAGTCCTGAGAAGGTGAAGGATCTGTGCAGACTTGGCCTGTTCTCAGCCTGCGTTTCACCCATGAGGTGCTGCAGCCCAGGAGACACCCGGCGTGAGAGGCCGTGCTGAAGGGTGCTGAGATGCAAGGGTGGCTTTTATCTCTGCTTGCTCAATCTGCAGAAGAGGCCTAGTTTGAGTGTTTTTTTAGGATTTGCCATTGACCATTTTAAAAGGCCTTCTCCTCATCCTTGTCTGCTCATTAGCCTGTCCATGAAAGATAAGCTAAGCTGCTGCCCGCAATTCCGAAAGCAAATAACCACGGAATAACCCGCTTTGTTCCTGCTCAGTATTACCGCCGTCTTCGGTGGCAGAGCACAATAGCTGGTTTTATCACCAGCTACAAAGTACAGCAGGAGCAGGGCAGTCCCGGGGGGCACGCAGCAATGGGCCCCGCTCCACGCTGAGGTAGCCAAGGGAGCCGCGGTGCCGCCGCGCTGGGCTGCCCCGCTCACCCCGGTGGCCACCAGCAAGCAGGATCCAGCAGGATCCCAGGCAGGGTCGGGAGGCTCCCGTGGGCATCCAGGCGGGATGCAGCAGCCCCGCAGCTCACCTGGGCGCTGGCGGCGGCGACGTGGCGCAGGGGGGGGGCGCCGCCCCCCCCGCGGCCTCCACACGTGGCAGGGCGGGCGCGCGCGGGAGGCACCTCCTTCCGCCTTCACCGCCATCAACGCGTGTGTCTACATATATATTATATTTTTTATATTTTAAAAAATATTTTATATTTTATATATATATTTAAATATATGTAAACCCCAGAAGCACACTAATTCAGAGTGCCAAGGCTTCCCCCTCCTGTTGAGCTTGCCCAGTGAAAGCGATACCGCCAGGATACTTTGTGTGAGAAAATTGCTGGCATGTGCAGAGGTGGAAAATCCTGCTCTTACGTCAGCTAGCAGAAAGGTCTAAAGGTGAGCGGGCAGCGTCCCTCACTGCACACAGGAGAGACTGTTTTTTTTTTCTCTCTTTTTTTCGTCTTTTTTTACTCTTCAGGGTTTTTTTTTCTTGTTTTATTTTTTTTCTCTCTTTTTTTTCGTCTTTTTTTACTCTTCAGGGTTTTTTTTTCTTGTTTTTTTTTTCCTCTCTTTTTTTCTTCGTCTTTTACTCTTCAGGGTTTTTTTTTTCTTGTTTATTTTTTTTTCTCTCTTTTTTTCGTCTTTTTTTACTCTTCAGGGTTTTTTTTTTCTTTTTTTTTTTTTCCCTCTCTTTTTTTCGTCTTCTTTTACTCTTCAGGATTTTTTTTTCTTGTTTTTTTTTTCCTTTTTTGTTTTTGCTCTTTAGTTCTTTTTGTTTCTTTTGTTGTTTTTGAGATTACATCATCACAATCTATTAGTTTCCAGCTCCCAAATGAAGAAACCTCTTCCTTCTCTTAAGGAAGTAGTGACACTGGAGGAATGAAGAAGGACTAGAACTCCCCCTCCAACAAGCTAATGAAATATTCTCAACTGTTCTTTCAGTCACTGTTAGGGCGTTTAGCCCTTTCAGTTAAGCATAACAAAATCACAGTGTGAGAATTTTGGCCTTATGAAACTCTGGTGAGAGCATCGTTTGTGTGACATGGTGCTCTGCGCTTGCTTGTGTGTTTTTAGGTTTGAATTTACGCACAAGAAACAGAGCGGTGGGGCAGGCCAGTATGGCAAAGTCATAGGGGTCCTCGAGCCTCTGGATCCAGAGGACTACACAAAGCTGGAATTCGAGGACAGGACCATTGGCACAAACATCCCCAAACAGTTTGTGCCTGCTGTGGAGAAGGTATGAAGCATTTTGTGATTGCTGTGTGTGCTGTTTGTCTTACCCCAGGCAAAGAGACATTTTCCATTACTTCAGTAGAAGCAGAATCGACTTTGTGTGTTTTTGCTTAATATCTTACATTCCTAGGTTTTCCACTTAATTTAGAAGCGACTGTTTGTTTTCTTTGCTAGCGTGTGCTTAGCTCTATTTCCATAGCAATGCCTCTGTGCAAAACGTAGCCTTTCCTTCCTTACAGTAAAACAAACCTACCCCTTTGAATCTGCCTTTTAATTCCCCTCTTCTGCTTTTGATTGTGGTCACTTGATCCTAATCTCTAATTCTGAAATATGTTACATAATTTTTTTGTTATTTTTCAGAGACCACTTACATAAGAAACTGCAGTTAAATTTGATTTCCTGATTAAATTACCCAATATTCTTTCTTTTTCCCTGCTTTGGTGGCAGCTTCTGTGTATGCCTCACTTCATGTAACTGCTTAGTTTATCACATATGGCTTTAAATAATGTCTTTTTATCACCATCTTAGCACCATCTCTGGATTCTTGTAATAAATAAACTAAAAGAATTCTGTTTTTCTTCTGTGATGCAACACATCATGATTTTTGCCAAACACATGCAATCTTAAAAGAATTCTGTTCCTCAGTCAATTGGTTAATGTAGTTGCTCTCCACATGGAGCCTTTTTCAGTTATTGTTCACAGGCTTTATTTAACAAAACAAAATCCTGAACCCTTATCCTCAGTTTCTCATCTGATTTCTAAGGTGATATCAAATTGAAAAACAACAGTACAAAATTTTCAAATGCTAGAGAATTTAAAAGTTTTCCCCACTATGTTGTATTCTGTTGTCATTTCATCAAACAAGAACATTCATGGTCCAGATGTGTGATGGTTGTTAAAAATGATGAAATACAGCTATAGTTATATTTCCATATAGCTGTCATTAAAGCTGCTGGTTTTTTGTTTGTTTGTTTGTTTTAAAGTTTCATTTTAATTTAAAAGCTAACTTTGAGGTGTTATTTGACAGGGATTCCGAGATGCCTGCGAAAAAGGTCCCATGTCAGGGTACAGGATATCTGGACTCCGGTTTGTCCTGGATGACGGTGCACATCACATGGTGGATTCTAATGAAATCTCCTTCATCAGAGCAGGAGAAGGAGCTCTAAAGCAAGGTATAAAGTTAGTGATTTGAACATGCAGTGCTGCTGGAGCCAAATTAAACCACCTCATCTTCTAGTGTGCACTTATTGCCTGGTGTACGTGCATGCATACATTCCAAGTTTGTTGGCCAGTTACATAGCACAGAATAAATGCAAAAATATAGAGAATTTTAGAGGAGGCAACCTAATTCTTGTAGCTGTATGAAGGAAAAGGCAACCTTTTTTCTTAGATCACACTAAAGAAATATGAACAGCTTAATCTTTATAGAGATAAGAAAATAACATTCTGTCAAACTGCATGTCTGCTGGCAATATGGGCTCTGAAATAGAAGGTAGTGGGGGACAGAATTCTGAAACAGTTGTAACCTTTTCCTCATTGATGCCGCAAACATTCAGCATTAGCCACAAAGACACCTCATTGCTGTACACAGGAGGATCTTGAGTGGTTCCAGGCTTGTTCTCTGGCTTGTCTTGCTGCATGTGAGTTTAGCTAGGAGTTAGTTTATTTGGTCTTGCAAAACACAAGTTCCGTGAGTAATACATTACCATTCAGTGTTAAGATCATGGGTCTAATAGAAAACATGTTGCCTTAGCTGTCACTTCTGGCCCTACTGCTGCAAGTCTGTGACAGCACCTTGTTTTCTTGCAAGGCCAAATTAAACATAGTTTAATGTGTATATACTAGGTAGCCATAAGAATTACAAGTTTTTTAATTAATCTTTTGTTTTTTTTTTTCCCTTCCAGCCATGGAGAATGCCTCTGTGCGTATACTTGAACCCGTTATGGCAGTGGAGGTGATGGCACCCATCGAGTTCCAAGGAGCAGTGACAGCTGGCATTAACCGCCGTCACGGAGTGATCACGGGACAGGATGGCACCGAGGATTACTTCACTCTCTATGCTGAGGTGTGTCCTGTTAAATGATTGTTTATTATTTATCTCCATTGCTCTTTTTCTTGGTAACACACATAGATTTATAGCTAAGTTGCTAAGCAGCAGTGCATAGCATTAACTTGCAACTCAGCAGTGCAACATAAACATAATATTACAATGCACTGCATGCCTGCAGTGTACACAGTGCATACAGTGCAACATAGGGCTGTTGTGAGTCTGCCTTGCTTCAGCCAGCTGACTGAGCTAAACGTTACAGTGGCAGAGAAGGAAGGGACTTCAGGTGTCGTGCAGTTTGGCATCATGCTCTGTTGGCTGCATCGACTCCCCCAACTGCGCTTCAGTGCTCGACCAGGACCCCCTTAATAAACCAGGTCTAGCAGCTGATCTACTTCCTAGTGAAACAAGCTGTGCAGCAACATGGACACACATCTGTCATGAAATCATTTGTCAGCTCTCTTTCTTCAGCTGTTAAAAGGAGACGTTAATAATTGGAGCTGCACGCAATGGTTGCCTTCCAAGCCTTTAGTGTCCCTTCTAAAATGTGTTCATGTTCACGTTAGGTCATAGGAGATGCATTTCTAACAATGGATGTGGGATAAATCATCTCAGCAAGGGCTGGGTAGTGACAAAACACGTGCTGTGTCATTCCTGTTTTCAAAAGCACAGTGTGTTTAAAAGCTGCAGTCTTGACTTTCTAACATGACGGTCTCTTGCTTTGTAATGTTGATTACTGACTCTGGGATTTTCCAATATCTGGTGTATTATAGCTCAGAGATCTTTGGGGTTTCCCAATGAGTATACATTATGAACATTAATTAAATGAAATAGAGTTATGTAAAAAAAAAATTAAAAAGTTAGCAAAAAGTCAGTGATGTTTACAAAGAACACAAGATTTTGCAAAGTCTCTTTGTAGCATAATAAAGACTGATTGGATTGTAACCAAAAATTGGTTGGAAAATTGGTTGTTCCTACTACAAGAATAATATGTTTCATCTGTGTGGTTTTAGGTACCACTGAATGATATGTTTGGATATGCCACCGAGCTGAGGTCTTGTACTGAGGTAAGTTCTTTCAGTATTTTTTTAACTATGCTTATTTCCATATATAAAGTGTGTTAATTTGCATTGTCTTATACATAGCATGAGTAGCCTTAAAGGGATTAAAATAAAAACAAAAAGGCAGAATAGAAGAAGATTACTAGAGTTATTACAGTTACTTTATCTGTTTCTTAAATATCTTAGTATTAGCTATGTCATTTCAGGCTAAAGATTTCTCTTAAACTTTGGGGAGGAAGGCAATAGTCTTAAGTAACTCAAAGTGGTAAATACTGATAAAGATATTGAATTCATAGGTTGCAAAAGTTTTTGCATACTCCCAACATTCTGTTTCAAATGTCTGCAAGCCAAGAGATTTTTGAAGGAAATGCTTGCATTAATTAGGTGTCCCTTTTAGCAATATACATTTCTATGGCTAAACATTGAATTCCTAGATGCATTTGAATCAGGTGAGGTATTTTCTTAGTGTTTTACTAATAATTTCCTATTTCCCATCTCCTGTGATACAGAAGTACTGTATTCTGTGAGCATGTGAATGGATTGTTGCTAATATCATAATTGTTCTCTGAATTTTAAGCAAAACAACCACTGGGATGGATATTACAGGCAATTTATAATCCCTATTACAGGCAATTTGTAATCCCATATCAAAGAAACAATGTTCAGATACTGTTTGTTTATTTTGGATCTCATAACTACATGCCTCAACATGCAATGTTGTATACTTATTTGTAAAATATTGTTTACTTCACAGACCATGGTGTGGCTGAGTGCAAAACAGTTCCTTGTTCAGCATCCTAACTTTGATATATATTTTTTTCCAACTCTTCAGGGAAAAGGTGAATATACCATGGAGTACTGTAAATACCACCCATGTTTGCCCAGTACCCAGGAAGAAATAATAAACAAATACCTTGAGGCCACGGGGCGACTTCCCGCGAAAAAGGGCAAAGCCAAGAGCTGACTTTCTTCTCCTTGAGCACATTGAACAGTTTTTCACAATCTCTAAGAGCTCAGTTGCCCAAGTGATACAAGGGACTGATGCTGGATGGATAAATACAGACTGCAGGAGGACTTCATTGCATCTTCATGCCCTTTTTTATGGTATTCTCAGAAGTCGCTGGGAGATTACAGCTGAATTGTTCACTTGTAGATGCCACTCATTAACAAAATATATAAATACAATAACATTGACGATAATTTGTCTTGAATTTTGTCTCAGGTTGTATTAAAATCATTTTATTTTTTTACTTGATAAAATATTATTGTGTAATTAGGCTAGTTACTGTTTCTATTTTTGAAAGATTAAAAATCCTAAACATTTAGGAGGCTAAGTGTTAGCTGCCAATATGGTGAATATTTTTTGTTCAGGTGTTCCAAAAAGATCCTTTGGTGTTGCAGTTCACTGCAGCATACAGTCTAGGAAAAAATGCTAATGTTTTATTCTCATCCTTCAGAAACAGTGTTAAGATCCTCCAGAGCCATAACTCAGCTGTTAGTGGAACTGGTGTTTCACCAAATCTACTTATCACAGATGGTGTGATGCATTTTAGGAAGCTGGTAAGAACTTACATAGAAGTAAACTCTTTCCTAAACCATGTGCAAGATGAGTTCCTGTATATGTTGTTTACTTGGCTCTAGGTGCTCTACCTTCCTAAAAGAATCTCTTTGTCATAAAACCAAACAAAAAGATTCTTTTTTTCCAAAATCTTAAGAGATCATGTTCCTGTTGATGTGCTTATCTTGAGAATTACGTAACTAGATACTGTTAACTTATAATACAGAGAAAAATTGAAGCTGTTAAAATTAGGTGAGAGAAAATATAGTACTTCTTAATGTTATTACCAAAAGATCCACTATGCATTTTCCTTGCGTGCTCTCTCTTCTTGACTTTCTCTGCTTGCAGCATTTTTGCAGACTTCCAGTAAACAGGGAATGAAGTTCCAGTTCAAAACCAACTGCATTCCTGGCACAGGATTGTGCTTGATGTTTACCAGACACAGAACTGTAATGGCTGGGCTTTTTTTGTCTCAGTCCTAACAGAAAGACGGTGAAAATTACACATTTTAAACTTGAAGTAAGTAGAGTGTCAGAGATTTGTCAGGGGCATGTAAATATTAACTAAACATGGGCATAAGGTTGTGTATGAATATGACGTTGCTTGGGGCCAAATCCTTCTTGTTTCCCTTACATCTGTAGCTTTTCGTTTTTTGTGAAGAAAAAATGCATCTGGAACTAATTTTAAGGAAAACCCTACAGGTTCTCCGTCATTTAGGGATTTTCTTAAGCAAACAAACATTCCCCTACCTTTGCCAAAATTCAGAGGAGACTTAGAAAAGCAGTATGAATGCAATTGCAAAGAAAGAAAAGCGGTAGTTATGTTAGTTGTATTTTTGGCTTTTATGTTTTGCTCATTAGAGGTCAGTCGTGATGTGAAGTCTTGGCTCTGATGCTGCCACATGTGTATTGCTGCTCCCCAAATCTAACGCAGACGACGGGACCGCGCTCGGGACCGCACAGCGCAGGGACGGCCGCACCACGGTGGGGTCTGCTGCACTTAATGACCACAACTCTCTTCTCTTGTGGGCATCCACTCTGCCACGGATATTCTTATTGTGCTTTTTGGCGCTGTGAACCGAGTCTTGACTCAGAAAATGTTTGCCTTTACCAACAATCTAATAATGGTAACTGAATTTTGCTTCAGTAAAAATTGCGTAGATAATTTCAGGTTTTGTTCCGCCGACTGAAATCTTGGCCCAAAAGACTTTGATGGAAATTTTGCCATTCATTTCCAACCAGCTGGTACTTTTCCAGAAGTTAGGATTGTGCAGTTTCTTAAGTGAGATAAAACTTGTGCTGCTTACTCGAGGTCAAAGTTACACGGGTTTGTCAAACTGGAAACAAACGATTCTCTGTTCTGGGCTTGGAAAGCAGTAGCAAAAACCGTACTTTGTTAGTAAGAAAACTAACCTTGTAGCTAATTATATTGCTAAAATAGAGCCCCAAAGTACGAAACTACTGTACTATTTTCTTGTTTAAATTCTTTAAAATTTTTAATCATCAGTTTCCTATTGAAGTTGTCATTAAAAGCTCTGATTACATGTTTTGCCGGTACAGAAGTAAACACGGTGTATGAAATGCTGTTTTACTGAATTTATTTTAACATGTTACGTGCTGACATAAAAAGCTTCAATCAGTAAAAGTCTAGGAAGAGAAATACAGTTGTATAAAATGCCTGAATTATTTTGGGCTATCAGATCACACAAGATAACCATCTTCTAGTTGTGTTCAAATAACTTAAATCATCGTTACTGATTACACATCACTGGTAGCCCAGGATACTACAAGTTGTAGAAGAAAATAACCATTGCAGAAGGCAGAGACCACTGCCTGCTTCCAAGAGTAAGGCATACTTAGTACCTGGGGTTTATTTATCCTGATAGAAATTGTTAAGGAAAGAAAGCAACAAGTCAAAATAGTTTAGCGTTATCTTAGAGAGCAAAGGTGAGGAAGTGTGCTTGCCCTAAGCCCAGAATGGAGAATTTGATGTGAAAGGACAAAAACACATTCTTGCAGTAAGACTTTGTTGTATTTAAGATGGGTAAAAGACATGGCAGTTATTAAAATGTAGTATCTGATTGACTGGATATTGTGATAGCAGGCTGTTCTCAGCCAAACCCGAGCGTGGAAATTTTTATCTGTCTCCTGTTCAGTCCATCGTCGTTGGAGCTTGCAGCAAAATCTCCACCCATCCTGCAGACAGACAAAAAGACACAATATCTGCATGTTTGACAAACACTTCCCTTGTGGGGTCGTAGACTGGTGGTGGACAGAGAAGAGACAAAAAACCCCCACATTTTCCTTAAATCGGTGTTTTCTCAGTTGACTTTGCCAATACGAGAGGATAAACTTTGTTTCTTTTTTAAGCAGGAATTGCTGTTCACCAGCAGGACTTGGGCCAGTGAGTCATAAAAGAAAACTCAACCTCTGCTGTGTGTAATGATACTTGTTTTATTGGAGATTTAAGTTAAAAAATAGCAAATAATATATCTATCCAAAAATGGAAAAAGAAGATTTAGTAGACAAGTATTTCTTATAGTGACAGAGTAATATTTTTTCTCAAGATTTTTATCCAAATATATTAACTTTGTTCACTTAGTTGCATAAAATCAGCCTGTGCATGTATATCTGTGAATGTATATAGTAGCAAAATTCATTTAGGTAGATCTCTAGAATGTGTGAGTTTTTACCATGTAAGAAATCAAACATTCATTCTGGAACAGACTAGTGAAAGTATTTAAAGTCACTGAAGTGTGACTAGTGTAGAAAAGTTATCAGAACTCTGGATTTATTAACTCGAGGGTCCTCCCATTTAATATACAAAGCTGAAAATCATCTCAAAAATTTTCTTCTTTTTCCTGTGAAATTCCAGCAGCAGATCCAGATTCCATTCCAGATGTCTCTTCAAACCACTGATTCTCTGAAGCACAGAAGTACTTTACTTTCTGAGGGTGACCAGGAAGCCAAATGACACGCAGGTGGCATGAAATCATTTCCTGGGTAATAGATTTAAGAAAAAGAAAAGAAAAAAAAAGTTATCTTTATGATCTTTCTGTAGTTTTTCTGCTGATGAAAGTGGGTATTACACATCTATGCTTTCTTACCTGTGTTGGAATTTCGTGAAGTAAGACGGTGTAGTCAAACTCAATAAAATCATCTTGCCTTATCTGGACAGGTAACAAAGGAAAAAGGAACCAAAACCACAATGTTATATTGTTGAAGTGTAGTACCTGCTCTGATTAATTAAGTGCATTTAGCCTAATAAGGAGGAGAGAGAAAAAGAGACTTGAGATGCCAATGGTAAGATATGTTTTTGCGTGTGGAGAGGAGGGGAATTGGGAACAATTCCTGTGCCAAGACTCTGAGGACACTAACTGGAGTGGGGCTTTGCAGTTTGACTGTGCTCTGATGTGAAACTAGGCTTATTCAGATGCCAGTTACTTAAGTTAACACTTGAATGAATGTGAGAATCCTATTAATCTCTCTAAAAATATATAATTCTGAATAACCTGGGAATAGAAAGCAAGCACACTATAGATCACAGGTGACTGACACAGAAACAAACCTTTAGAAAGTCCTATATGGAAGAGCTGTGCAGTTTGCTTCCCAAGAGAACTTGTATCAAATACTAAATTGATGCTAGGAAAATAAAAAAGAGTGGGAGTGACTTAGCATGGGGGTGCTGAATTGCAGGACCACATGTGTAAATCCTCTGATGAATCCTGCAGAAGCCAACTGATGTGCTCATGCAAACAGAACAGCATTTTGTCCAAATGACTAATATTTTTCTACCAAGCTCTGAATAACTCCATAACTCATTCTGATGGAGATACTTTTATGTGAAACCACTCGGATCTTGGAAGCACACAGATGCTGCAGAACATGTGAGCTGTGGCTGGCTGGTTTGTTTTCTCTTGCCTGGTGGACAGGGTTCGCCTCTAAGGCAGACTGGTAATTTGGACTTGGCTTACCCACTGCTTTGCAGACTTGACTTGTGCCATGGAGTAACTCAAGTTCTCTGTTGATTTTTCCCACATTATTTTGCTGCTGCCAACAACAGCCAAAGCCCACACTGGCTCAAAGGCAGGTTCAATATTTCCATAGCTGTCTGAAAGGGAGAAATAATATAAAAATGATGAATTCTGCCTGCTCATCAGGCAAATGATAGACCGCAGAGTCCGGCGCCGTGGCGCAGAAACACTTCATAACTCTTCCCTCGGACACGTCGCAGCCCTCAGCGTGGAGGACGGACCGCTGATAAACTCATGTGGCTGCAGAAGGACGAAAGCAGGAGGGAACTGGAAGTATCACGGGACGTTATTCGTGACCCCCTAACCCAGCAGGAAAAGGGGGACCAGGGCCCTCTATTTCTGGGATGGGAAAATTCAGTCATCCCTTGTGAATTCCCATCCATAGGTGGAGGAAGATTTGCGCGTTAAAGCAGTCGTTTACTTGAGTTTTAATTGAATATAGATTTGCATAGGCCTGCTCTCAAATCCTGAACAGTTGACTAACACTCTTGCTAAACCCAGCAGGCGTTTTTCTCCCCAAGGATTTTTGGCAAGGTGGAACTTTTTGGGGAGGGCAAGAGGGAGGAGGAGAGTTAGTCCTGGTTTTAGGGTGCTGCTGTGGAAACACACCTACTTTTTAAAACACGTGCACGTTCCCTTGCATTCTTAAAAGTGCCCGAAGTCTTTGATATAGCATAAGATTATTTGAGGGAATATACCTGGAATGTCATTTGCAACTATTGGTTTGGTTTGTTGCTTTATTTTTTGGTAAATTTTGTTGTCCTCTTCTTGGATTTGCTTCTCATCTTTGCTGTCTACACAGTTGATAGTGACAGCAGGCGGAGAGTTTCCCTTCTCAAAGAGCACCGTAGCAAGGCAGCTCCCAACGTTCTCCTAGAAAGGTACAACTTCAAACTGTTATTACCAATCAAGGCTTAAGTGTAGCACATTTTAAAAAGAGCTCTTGATACAATCACGTGAAACATATGCATAGAATACATACATTTCTATATGAGATTCTTTGTAGGAAACTATGAGGATCACAGACAGTCTTTTAGAAGATTTTTTTTTCAGAAATGGGTTAAAGAAAGACTAAAAAAAGTGATTTAGCAAGTGTAGCAGAAAAACTAAATCATCTCGGGGATATGTTTGAAAGTCCTTAGCAAAGGATCCTAATTGATAACAACATTGACTGATTTTGTTATACAAAACATCTGCCTTAGAACAAAAACAATGTAATGCTTCATATTACAATTCTGAAATTTGAGTTTCAGAAGACGTGTGTGTAAGGGCAGAGCAGATGCTTACCATAAAATTGCTAACGGCAGCTGAGAGGATGACTGGAGAGGGGGTTATAACTGCTAAAAGACAAGACGCTGTGCAGTGTCTATTCCTGTCCTGGCAGACCCAGCATGGGGACAAGGAGCAGGATGTGACAGCTCCGGAGCGCGGTGCCCGCAGGGGCTCCCGCAGCGCTGAGCAGCGCAGGGAACCGCGTGAAGTGCTCCGACCGCTACGGAGGCAGAGAAGGGATCAGACAAAACGCTGCGTGGATAGCAAGAGGAAGCCCTGCCCGTGCTGTGCAAGCAGGTAAAAGCAAAGAATAAGTCATTTTATTGAGAAAGACTGATTTAGAGAAGCAGTTAAATATACCCTGTTTTACAGGTGTTGAGGTTTAACACACGCTGTTGGGGAAGACACAGTTGGGCTGTAAACTTACCCTGCTTCTGTAGTCTTCGGTAGTGAACTGCAGGTAGTATTTATGACCAACTCCTGGGATGCTCTGCAAGAGAGAGGAGTTCTGTCCACGCTGTAACTACAGCCTTACATATTACTATAACTTAATCACTGCTGAGCACGTGGCGCAGGCAGCCCTGCGGTAACACACATCAGCACCCCGTGTTCTGAAGAGGGCAAAGGCAGGATGAAGAGAGCTTGAAAGTAGTATCTGGGGGCATGGGAATCAACTGGAAAACAAATAACCTTTTTTGTGTTGGTTGTGGCTGACAGCTGCTGCTGGCGGTTGTGCTGGGTGTTTTTGTGTTGGTTGTTGCTTTGGTTAATTCTGATTTTGCTGTGAGGTATCACAGACTGCTCTGACCCCTAGCAAGCTGAAACAAGCTTGTTTTCAATACTGGTCCTGAAAAGTAATAATTACTATGAACAGGATCAGGGTATCATTTAGCAGGGCAAAAGCACAGCCTGCAAAAAAGTATTTGGATGATCTGCTCTTTACTTCATCAGTCAGTCCTCCAGCAACTTTGAGTATACTCATTTGGCAGGGAGGAGTCTGAGTAACAGAATAGCAGTGACTTCACATTTATAGACCACTATTTGCTTGTAAGCTGTCTGGCATATTTTTGTCATTTGATTAAATTGCTCATACGTACATCAAAGTAAGTCTTTTCTCCATGCTATACTGTGATTTATTAGGTAAGGTTTCTGATAACACCAGTCAAATCACTTCAGCATTTGAAAGTTTCTTCCTTTCACATCATCCATTGCTTTACTAAAAGGTGGTCTCCCTTGTCGCCAACCTCTTCTTGCTTCTATTCTCCAACTCTCAGTGACTCTAACGCTACTTGTTCAGTGTATTTTGGTACACAGGTTTTCTGCTTTGGGACACGTCGGGTAGCATGTGGAAAATGCGTTTTACGGGAGAATGCAAGCTGCCTTTCAAAGTGTGCCTTTAGGTGAAATTGCTGTGTTCCAGGGACAGCATTGATTCGGGAGCTTGCTTGCTTTCTAAACAACACTCTTCAAGTAAATAGTAGGGTAATTCTGGCCGTTTGCATGACATTGAAGGTTAAAATCCTAAGCAAATGTGTGCATGTTTTACTTATCAAAAGTCAGACCTTTTTGCTCCCATCATACTTTCCGCCAGGAAGCCATTAATAGCAAAACAATCACAAAGTTTAATTCTGAGGCCAAGGCCACCAGCCTAGCACCTGCCTTAGTACATACACTAGTTGTGTACTGCAGATAGGAGGTCAAACTGGCTTATTTACTCGCTCCACTTTTGTAACATCTCATCCTGAGGCTCCTGAAGAGGAAGCCACCGCTTGGCCCCGATGGCGCCGCGCAGGGAGCGGGGAGGCCAAGGACGGCAGCCGGACACAGCCCAGCCCCGCTTCCAGTTCCCACCGCCGCGCCTGGAGTTGGTCCGTGACCCCGGCATCCACGAGCCAGCTCGGGAACGGAGCTGCCCGTGACGCGCCGAGCCCCGCGCGCCCGGAGCGCGGCACGGAGCCGGCAGCACCTTCACCTCCTCCCTGCGAGGCAGCATTAACACGCACGAGCATATACGTGCATACGTATATAGTGCACATATACACACACACACATGTGCACTTCTGAAGCAGCAGTGCATGTGCGTGTGTATATATGCACATATATAGCAAATATATATGCATGGGCACTTGTGCATATATATACACACACATATAGCTTGTTTACAGTGCACATGCATATAGACACACCTTTAACATTTACAGTACACATACATATAGCATACATAATGCACATGCAGACATGCATATGGCATATGCACAGTACACATCGCATAGAGTACACATGGATATATACAACACACACACACCTATAACTTGTTTACAATGCACATGCATATAGACACACCTTTAACATTTACAGTGCACATACATATAGGATACATAATGCACATGCAGACATGCGTATGGCATATGTGCAGTACACATCACAGAGTGCACATGCATAGGCACATATACCCCACACCACATGTATTCATGGTGCACATGCATAGATGCAGACCCATAGCATATATATATACTCAGTGCACATGCATAGATGCCTACATATAGCATCTATAGGCACATGCATAGATGCAGACGCATAGCATATATATACATGGTGCACATGCATAAATGCAGACACATAGCATCTGTAGGCACGTGCATATATCTATGCATGTGCACTATGAATATATATGCTATGTGTCAGTGTCTATGCATGTGCACTATGTATATGCAGACACATAGCATATATATTCATAGTGCACATGCATA